TTGTTTGTGTGTTTTTTTAAAAAAAAGCTAAAGTGGATAGAGGGAAATACTTTTAACTGATGGTATATGGAGGGGATTATAATCAATGTAATGAAATAAGTTATATGAAGTGTTGAATGTGAAACTGATGATGTGCCCTGTAAACTTTCACTCAACCCACAATAAAAACCTTAAATTAAAAAAAAAAAAAAAAATTATATAATTACCCTTCACCAGTGTGTGGTCTACCCCAAACATACTAGTAGGAAAGTAGCCAGACCGACCTGATTAGTGGACTTCATGAGGATGTAATTAGTGACCTTCCCAAAGGGCAGCCCCAGGTTAATGACGTCGTTCTCAGTACAGCTTCCTTCCGGGAGATTACAGATGTGCACCACACGGCCAGCGCCCACTTTCTGCTGTGCGAACTAATGGGAACAATGGGAACAGTCACCAGACATTTCCCTCTTACCCTCTAGTCCAGAATCCCCAAATAATCCCCAAATAATGATTGCAAAGCAGTCATTTATGCAATTATTACAGAAGAATCCATTAAAAATAACAACTATTTTATACCATATGTATGTCAAGATACAAAAAAGGACACCTGGTATGGTGCTGTGGGATAAAGCACTGGACTGCAAGGTCAGTTTGAGCCCCAAAGTTGGTGGTTCAAACTCACCAGCTGCTCCTTGGAAACCCTATACAGGGTCGCTACGAGTTGGAACCGACTCCACGGCACATAACAACAAAAACAACCAAAAGGTTGGCAGCTGGAACCCACCAGGCTTTCTGCTGTAGAAAGATGTGGTACTCTGTATAAATATCACAGCCTTGGAAACCCTATGAGGCAGTTTAATTCTGTCCTACAGGGTCACTATGAGTTAGAACCCTCTAGATGGCAACAGACTGACATATATAAGGTTAGGTAGTCGGCTGCTAACCGAAAGAATGGCAGTTCCAACCCACCCAGTGGCCCAGTGGGAGGAAGACTTGGTGATCTCTCATAAAGATTACAGTCTAGAAAACCCTATGGGGCAGTTCTACTCTGTCACAAGAGGGTGGCTATGAGTCGAAATGGACCCAACAACAAAATAAATACACACATTCACAGCAACCACCAGCGGTTTAGGGCAGTGGTTTTCAAAATGTTTTTGCCTTGGGATCGTTTCTTCAAATAAAATTTTGCTCAATAGCCTAATATATTCTATAAATCAAAGAGAAATTGTTCTGGTCAAACCTTGGGGTTCAGCATCCATCTACACTCCCCACCCAGCAGCCACAAAGACACCTCTGAGAACACAGTTTGGAATCCAAGACCTAGGCCATTAGGATCAAAGTTCCCAGAGGGAGACAGTGTATCTCTTTGGTCTCTGCAAACTTTCACCAGAGCCTGAGATCTCCAGGAGGTTCAAGGATAAATAATCAGAAGTCAACCCAGCGTGGAAAAGAAAGGTGCAATTTTCCCAAACCTGAAATGTAGAGCCTCAATGTGCATAATCACCCTTTTCTAAGGTAAAGTAAACTTCAGCATCTTATTACACTTGCTGGTGGTCCTGCTCTGCTAAATTAACACAGGGGGAAAGGCACTGAGGTCCCCTCCCCAGGGCTAATACTAGGCTAATTCTACCATGAAAAAGCTCTCATTTGTCTCATTTGAATTGAAGACAATTAGACGCAGTAAGAATTTCCTTTTATGCTTTAGCCTTGAATTGGAGAAACCCCAGTGTTCCTTTCAGACCTCCCCATAGGTGAAGCCCTGAGGAGGCCAAGCACTTACCCCATTAGACCCATGATTCCTGTGTGGCTCAGGCAGCTCCCAAAGCATCCTGTGGTGCAGTTGAAGCTTCCCCAGGAGACTTGGGAGACTAGGCCTGGCTAATGAATGAAGGCAGGAGGGTTGTTACGAGGCAAGGTATTTGTTTCACATAAAGACACAGACCCATCTGTGCTTTCTATGGTTATCAACAAGAGGGCTGTGGTAGGGTACCTGATAGGGTTCCTCTTAGCAGCGTGCCTTTCTGACCTGTATGATTTTGCTGTGGTGGGCCTGGGCTTGGATAACAGAGCAGACACACACAGTGGTTCTGGGCCTATCCCAACTCCTTGGCAGTCCTGTTGCCTAGCAACCAGGCACTGAGCGTCAATGCCTCTTCTATTGTCTACTCCAGTTTGAATGAACAACTCAGGAAGCTTTTATCTGAGTGTGAACTCAGCAACTGCTGTTGCTGCTGGGTGGCAGAATGTAAACACCACACAGCCACCAGCCACCCAAGAAAGAGACATATTCAGGCTGCACATATGGTTATGAAAGGTGCTAAATGAATGGGTCTCAATTAAGGTTTCCACTCAAATTTAACAAATACATTCCCTGACTTTTCTGATGCTGTATAGTAATTCTCCACCTGGGGTCTCAAAAGCCTTCAAGGGTCGCTGAAGATAATATGGAAAGGATGGGAGCATTTCAGGATCATCTTCAACATTTCAAAAATCCAAGCTGAGATCATATGCATGTTTCTTTACTCCATCATGGGTTGAAAAAAGTAAATCTGGTTATATCATGGATCAACCAGGAAGTATAAGTGGTGTGGCCATGGCTTTGATCAATAAAAATGGATAATTCATTAGTAAGATCAGTACTTTGGGAAGCCAGGGTGGTGTGGTGAGTTACATGTTGAGCTGTTAACTGAAGGTTTGCTGGCTCAAACCCACCACTTCCTCCACAGAAGAATGATGAGGCTTTCTGCTCCAACAAAGACTTATAGCCTCAGAAGCCCTACATAGGGTTGCTATGAGTCGGAACTGAATAGACGGAACAGCACTTAACAGAAAAGCAGCTGCTAAGGGTGGAGGAATAAACAATAAAGGGGGTTGATTTAAACACACAAGGAGCCCTGCTGGTTGTTGATGCTGGGGGCCATCTAGTCGGTACTGACTCATAGTGACCCTATGCACAACAGAACGAAACACTGCCTGATCCTGGGTCAACCTCACAATTGTTGCCATGCGTGAGCCCACTGATGCTGCCACTTTGCCAATCCATCTTGTTGGGGGTCTCTCTCTTTTTCTCTGACCCTCCATCTTACCAAACATGATATTCCTCTCCAGTGATTGGTCCCTCCTGACAATATACCTGCTGGTACAAGTATTTAAACACACAAATCCTAACTGAAAGGTTGGCAGTACACATCCTGTAGCTGCTCCATGGGAGAAAGATGTGGCTGTCCGCTTCCAGAGGATTACAGCCTTGGAAACCGTATGGGGGAAGGAAGTTCTGCTCCGTCCTATGGGGTCGCTATGAGTCAGAATCAACTTGAAGGCAGTGGGTTTGGTTAGTTTGGGCGGAACCATAAAAAGCTCAGGATTCCATGATGTGCTAGAAAGATCCTGACCCTAGCTAGATGTCAGAGGATCCCGGTTCTAGTCCCAGCTCAGTCATTCCTTTGGTGTACAAGGGCAAACTCATTTCTCTTTCTGGCCTTGGTTTTCCAATGCCTGGAACTGGGGAGGTGGCCTACATGCCTAAAGTCCTTCCCAGCTGTGAAATATCTGCGGTTCTAAATTCTAAAATTCCACTCTTCCCAGAAGCTTGGCTAAGCTTACCCTGAGATCCAGGATAATGGTAACTTCGCAATTGTGCTTGGCATAACAGGAAACATGTGTCTTTTCCACTCCCTGTCCCAATTCACGTACTGTCCTTCCTCTCTTTGTGACTGGCTGCTGACCAAGGCATATGTTCAGAAGCATGCTCATCTTTCTGGCATGCCTGTCTGTGTTGGTGGTCGTTGTCTCTACAGGACTGGGGAAGCTCTGAGCAGTGAGCTTCTTGCTTCTCCAAAATACTGTGTCCTGGATGAGTCTGCTTCCCCAAGTGCCCCGAACAGTGAGATGGTACACTCAGATAAAGCAGAGAAACCCAGGCCTAGAACATCTCTGCGGACAGACCCAGGTCAAGTGTGTGCAGCAGCGTCAGGGCAGTGACTGGTAAACTAAGTCTGCATCTCAGGTCCCGAGTGACTACCTACTCCTGGGGCCTGGACAAGTTTCTGAATTTCTCCAAGTCTGATTTGCATCTGTAAAACAGGGAGAATAAAATGGATTCCACAGAGCGATCTGAAACTTGGCTTGCCACATGTGTGTACAATGCCTGGGGTCTAGGATCCTCCTCAGAAATGTTTGCTCTTTCTTTCCTCCTGCCGTTAAAGAATATGCTAGAATGGTTCTAAACCAAAAACATCAAACCTACGGCCGTCTGTCTAGTCGATTCTAACTTGCGGCAACTCCATGCGTTATACGATAGAACTGCTCCATAAGGTTTTCTAGGCTATAATTTTTCTTCCACAGCACTGCTGGGTAGATTTGAACCATTAACCTTTAAGATGGCAGTCTATCACAAACCACTTGTGTTGCCCTAGACTAGGAGAAATATAGCAGTACTTTGTATGTAAGAGATTATGTCTGTGTCCTATGCAAGACATATTTAAAGGTGAAAACTCATAGCATCTCTAACCTACTGTCACACAGGGCAGGAAAAGATGCATATGTGATTAGAGAGAGAGGGGCAGATGAAGACGGATAGATGACAGAAAAGTAGAGGGACAGACAGCCAAAGAAAGCGAATGATACAGTAAATGGGGCAAAATGTAAGACAGAAATCAATCTGGACAAAGGGTATGTGGGAGCTCCTTACCACTCTTGCAACTTTTGTTAGTTTCAATTATATTAAGAGTCACCACACATGCATTTTAAAAGATGTGCTCTGGGGCAGAAGTTGTCACTGTTGTTAAGTTCCGTTGAGTCGGTTCTGACCCATAGTGACCCTGTAGAGGGTTTCTGAGGAGTGGCTGGTGAGTGCAACCTTGTGGTGCAAACGGACCTGTGGTCCAGTGCATTATCCCTCAGTGCCTTGGGATTGGTAGAGAACTGCCTAAGCTCACCAACATGCATTTCTGGAACGGTGTTAAAAGAAGCTCTGCTCATATCCACCTGCTGCTCTGCCTCCTAAGGTCTCAGGAGGTACACACACTCCAGGTGCTCTTGAAACTTTCCAACCCACGGTCAAATCTCTAAGGGAGCTTAGGTGTCATTGGGGTTGTAACTAAAGCCCTAATTATGAATGACTACATCTTTTCTCAGCCTGCAGGCCAGCACTGACCTTAAACGCCTCCATGAGGGACCAGGTACCCCGCCTGCACATTTTTACATGTTGGGGTCACACATTTAAAACCAGATGCTATGTCTAAAGGGTTCATGTGGCTAGGTCTCAACTCAAAACAAATCCTTTGTAGATGGGTAGGGAGGGGAAAGGAGCAAACAGACTTGCACAAGATTCCAGACCTTTCAATGTTCTACAGTACAGGTGGGAACAGGCTTTGCAGACAATTTCAAAGAATTACTTCAGTTCAAATAGCTGACAGTGTTACAATAA